GCCACCGTCAACCGCCGGTCACCGTCGCCGCCGCCGGCCACCGTCCGGCCACCGTCAACCGCCGGTCACCGTCGCCGCCGCCGGCCACCGTCCGGCCACCGTCGCCGCCGGCCACCGTCGTCCGTCGCCGGCCGCCGTTCACCGCCCGCCGTTGCCGGCCACCGTCGTCCATCACTGTCACAGTTTCCTTCGTCTAAACCCTTAGGGTTTTCTTGTTCCTCGCTAGTACTATTTGTCTTCTTCAGAGATGGCGTCTGGCAGTACTCTTTCCTTCTCTGGAAGTCCATCAATTACCTCCGAGAAGCTAAATGGAAAAAATTATCTATCATGGTCTGCTGCTGTTGAAATGTGGTTCCTTGGCCAAGGGCATTATGACCACCTTGAGCGAGATGGAAGCCATGTGCCTACTGAAAAAGCTGATCAGTGGAAACAAGCAGATTTCCAGTTGTGTGTCCTGTTATGGCAATCAGTGGAACCCAAACTTCTTGTATCTTTGAGGGCTTTCAAAACTTGTCACTCCTTTTGGAAGAAAGCCCAAAGCATTTATGCCAACGATATTCAATGTCATGTCACTACGAACAAGCTTGCATCTCTTAAAATGGCAGACGATGATATAGTGTCCTTCATGGCTGAAGCCCAATCTGCTGTCGAAGAACTCAGGATGTTTTTGGAAGCAGACCCATTAGAGGATATGAAAAAGAAACTAGACAAATTTTACATGGTGTTAATCCTTCGTGCCCTACATCCCGATTTTGATCATCTCAGAGATCAACTTCTAACTAGTCTCATGAGGTCCCCTCCATGGAAACATTGACCACTCGCCTTATGTGTGTCCTGGTACCTCAAACTCAAGAAGCGCATGAACTAGTGGAACCATCTGTCATGGTTGCCACACGAGGAAGAAGAGGACGTGGCACTACAAGAGGAGGACGAGGAGGTCGGGGACGTTCTCAATGCACATACGGTAAAAGGATTGGTCACACTGAAGAGAATTGCTACTCCTTACATGGTTTCCGTTCCAAAACCGCCAATATTTCGAAGACTGAAACTTCCACTTCGAAGACTGAAACTTCCACTTCTATGTTTTCTGAGGATGAATATCAAGAGTATTTAAGGTTAAAGTCTAACCGCTTGGCACAACCATCTCAATCTCCCAATACATCAACCGCCTGCGTTTCTCAATCTATGGAAGGTCAAAATTGATGGGTAATTGACTCAGGTGCTTCTGATCACATTTCTGTTACTACCTCTTTGTTCTCATCTATTTCCTTTCGAGAAAAACTTCATTTCATAACCCTTGCAAATGGATCTAAAACTTTCTCCAAAGGAGTCGGTCATGTTTCTTTGTCTCCCTCCCTCAATTTCAACTCTGTCCTTTTTGTCCCTAATTATCCTTTTAATTTAATTTCCCTAAACCAGTTGACCAAAATGTTAAATTGTTCAATAACCTTTGATCATAAATCTTTTGTTATATAGGAGCGTGGTTTGGGGAGACAAATTGGAGAAGGATATGAAGCTAGCGGATTATACCATTTTGGATCTCGTCCAAGGGTGTCCTGTGTTGCTGCTCCTAATCTTAAAGTGCTACATGATCGACTTGGCCATCCTCATTTGTCCAAATTAAAAAAGATATGTCCCGAACTAGTGCTCTCCAAACCTTAGAATGTGAGTCATGTCAATTAGGATCTTACAGGAAATGATGCTGTTGGAATATCTCAACTAAGAGTACTTTTGTAGACATTTTCAAACCAAGGATCTTGGAAGCATTCAGGGCTCTGGGTATTGTGATGCAAATTGGGCAGTTTCACCTATTGATAGACGGTCTACTACATGATATTGTGTTTTTCTAGGAGGAAACATTATTTCATGAAAAAGTAAGAAACAAAATATAGTAGCTTGATCAACCGCTGAAGCCGAGTATAGGGCAATGGCATCTCTAACATGTGAACTTATATGGGTGAAACAATTCCTTCAAGAGGTTAAATTCTGTGACATCCATACTATGAAGATGGATTGCGACAATCAAGCTGCTCTCCACATTGCATCAAATCCAGTGTTTCATGAGAGGACTAAACATATAGAAATTGATTGTCATTTTGTTCGTGAAAAGTTGTTGACTAAAGAAATATGCACTGAGTTTATTGGGTCAAACAATCAACTCGCAGATGTATTGACCAAGTCATTAAGGGGCCCTCGGATTGAGTTTATTTGTTCCAAGCTTGGTACATACAATTTATATGCTGCAGCTTGAGGGGCAGTGGTAGGATATTTATCCTATTTTATCATGATTATATTGTGTCAAGGGTTACCTTATTTATCATGATTATATTGTGTGTAAGATTACCTTATTTATCATGATTATATTGTATGTATGGTTATCCTATTTATCATGTACTTTTGTATCAATTTAGTCTTATAAATAGAAGATCGTGATTATATTGTGTCAAGGGTTACCTTATTTATCATGATTATATTGTATGTATGGTTATCCTATTTATCATGTACTTTTGTATCAATTTAGTCTTATAAATAGAAGATCGTGATTATATTGTGTCAAGGGTTACCTTATTTATCATGATTATATTGTATGTATGGTTATCCTATTTATCATGTACTTTTGTATCAATTTAGTCTTATAAATAGAAGATCATTAGAGGGATCAATTAAACCCTTTAGAATTATTTTACAGTTTAATTCTCAAGTGCATAAGCAAAATTGATGTTTTAATTCTGTCATAACTTTGATCATATTTTGTGAATTGTCAATGTCCAGAGGCATTATTCATTTGCCATTCACCATAGGTATTGCTTCTGGTTTTGCAGTGGGACTTTGAGTTACATATTTAATAACTTCAAGGATGGCCGAGCTTTTAGTGAGGTAGTTGCTGAAGCAAAGGAAGCTGGTTATACTGAGCCAGATCCAAGGGATGATATGTCTGGAACAGATGTTGCTCGAAAGGTACAGTGTGGTATATGTTTACCAAATTTTGTTGTCATGTTAATTAACTCTTTTATGCTGTGTATAAAGCACCCATCCTGTAATTTTTTTCACGAGACATGTTGTTAGGTTACTTTGTGCAAATAACCTAATCTATACTCTCTTCTCACTTCAACATGGTGTATGGTGACCTACTTTTATTGAAGTCCCAAGAATTTTCAAGCTGATTTGTTTTGGGTGGCGCAAGGCCAACAAGAAAACGAACTTGTTAGTTTCTTGATTGAAAGAAACCTTGAACACTATTCTGGCTTGTGAGAAATAGAGAAGATTGGGAGAAATATCCCTTGTGTCTTTTGCATACACATAGGGTAGTTTATTTATAATGTTAGATATGGGCCAAGGCCCTTAATACAAAATGGGTTGAGCCCAATTAACATAAACACACATCTTAACATCTAACACTCCCCCTCAAGCTGGAGCATATAAATCATATGTTCAAAGCTTGTTACAAAGATAGTCAATTCTAGGTCCTCGTAAGGACTTAGTGAATATGTCAGCCAACTGGTTACTTGAGTTAACGAACTCAGTCTTGATATCTCCAGATATAATTTTTTCTCGAATAAAATGACAATCAACTTCAATGTGNGCTTGAGCAGCTTTTGCTAGTACCTATACTGCTTCTAATGATGATTACTTTGTAGCCTACTTATTACTATCTCTGGAAAATTTTCATACCATTGTTCTCTGTATCCAGTATTTGAGGTTAAGAGCTCTTCAAAGGCAATCCTACACACACTACTTCTATGAAGCTACGGTTGGGGCTGGTCTTCCCATTGTCAGCACTTTACGTGGCCTTCTTGAAACTGGAGACAGAATATTGCAAATTGAAGGGATATTTAGGTATGCTTTGATGCGTTAATCCTCTTTTTTTTATTTTAATTTTTTTTTTTTGTATGGACAGTGTCAAAATTCTCAAGTCTTGCTGTCTCATTTGTCCAACCTCTTATAATTTTCCCACTTTTAACACAAACAAATTAAAACGTTGTTTTAACTAAAATGGAGGTGCAAAAGTATCACTATGTTGTTTGCCATCCCAATTATGTTGGCCCCACTAACATCAGTCATGTGCAATATCTCAAAATCACATTAAAACAAGAAAATAATACGGTAATATGGTAACTTAAACCTATCTCTAAAAGTTTCTGGAGAAATAAATGTTGCTATGTTATCCAACCAACTTTAACCCTTAGTTTGCACCATAATTAGCAAGCCTATCAGCATATCAGTTACATTCCCTATATATGTGCGTAAAATATAAATTGACGTCTATACTTTTCTCCATACAATTAATCCTTCTATATCTAATATGCCATGGAATTAATTTGTAGACTAACTGAGTCACACTAAATCCATAGTTTGCTCTGACCTTTAGGGAAAGCCATTTCCATAGCAATGACTACACCATTGCCCCTGCATATAAAGCATCCTAAACTCCTAGAAAAGCCGATAATCATCGAATGATAGTAGATCTTTAGTCTCTAAAAATTCCACCACACCATACTCTTTATGGTGTCCCTTCTGCAGCACCATTTGTGTTACATTTCACCCAAAGAAACTTGGAGGAGTCCACCTCAGAACAGGTATGTATTGCGGTGCCTTCCTTGAATGTGCCTCCACAACAAAACTGAGGGGTGCATGCATCCCTTACAAAAATGAGCTGCCCTATTATATATGTTAGGATATTTATCCTATTTTATCATGATTATATTGTGTCAAGGGTTACCTTATTTATCATTATTATATTGTGTCTAGGATTACCCTATTTATCATGATTATATTGTGTCTAGGGTTACCCTATTTATCATGTATTTGTGTATCAATTTATTCTTATAAATAGAAGATTGTGAGAGGGATCAATTAAGCCCTCAAGAATTATTTCTTTTCAATCTTAAGTTGGTATCAGAGCGGGTCGATCCCGCTCTGGTTTCTGTCTCGTAATATATATCTGTCCGGCGCCATAGTTCTTCGTCGCCCGCCGCTGCCCGCCGCTGCCCGCCGCCGGCCACCGTCAACCGCCGGCCACCGTCGCCGCCGCCGGCCACCGTCCGGCCACCGTCAACCGCCGGTCACCGTCGCCGCCGCCGGCCACCGTCCGGCCACCGTCGCCGCCGGCCACCGTCGTCCGTCGCCGGCCGCCGTTCACCGCCCGCCGTTGCCGGCCACCGTCGTCCATCACTGTCACAGTTTCCTTCGTCTAAACCCTTAGGGTTTTCTTGTTCCTCGCTAGTACTATTTGTCTTCTTCAGAGATGGCGTCTGGCAGTACTCTTTCCTTCTCTGGAAGTCCATCAATTACCTCCGAGAAGCTAAATGGAAAAAATTATCTATCATGGTCTGCTGCTGTTGAAATGTGGTTCCTTGGCCAAGGGCATTATGACCACCTTGAGCGAGATGGAAGCCATGTGCCTACTGAAAAAGCTGATCAGTGGAAACAAGCAGATTTCCAGTTGTGTGTCCTGTTATGGCAATCAGTGGAACCCAAACTTCTTGTATCTTTGAGGGCTTTCAAAACTTGTCACTCCTTTTGGAAGAAAGCCCAAAGCATTTATGCCAACGATATTCAATGTCATGTCACTACGAACAAGCTTGCATCTCTTAAAATGGCAGACGATGATATAGTGTCCTTCATGGCTGAAGCCCAATCTGCTGTCGAAGAACTCAGGATGTTTTTGGAAGCAGACCCATTAGAGGATATGAAAAAGAAACTAGACAAATTTTACATGGTGTTAATCCTTCGTGCCCTACATCCCGATTTTGATCATCTCAGAGATCAACTTCTAACTAGTCTCATGAGGTCCCCTCCATGGAAACATTGACCACTCGCCTTATGTGTGTCCTGGTACCTCAAACTCAAGAAGCGCATGAACTAGTGGAACCATCTGTCATGGTTGCCACACGAGGAAGAAGAGGACGTGGCACTACAAGAGGAGGACGAGGAGGTCGGGGACGTTCTCAATGCACATACGGTAAAAGGATTGGTCACACTGAAGAGAATTGCTACTCCTTACATGGTTTCCGTTCCAAAACCGCCAATATTTCGAAGACTGAAACTTCCACTTCGAAGACTGAAACTTCCACTTCTATGTTTTCTGAGGATGAATATCAAGAGTATTTAAGGTTAAAGTCTAACCGCTTGGCACAACCATCTCAATCTCCCAATACATCAACCGCCTGCGTTTCTCAATCTATGGAAGGTCAAAATTGATGGGTAATTGACTCAGGTGCTTCTGATCACATTTCTGTTACTACCTCTTTGTTCTCATCTATTTCCTTTCGAGAAAAACTTCATTTCATAACCCTTGCAAATGGATCTAAAACTTTCTCCAAAGGAGTCGGTCATGTTTCTTTGTCTCCCTCCCTCAATTTCAACTCTGTCCTTTTTGTCCCTAATTATCCTTTTAATTTAATTTCCCTAAACCAGTTGACCAAAATGTTAAATTGTTCAATAACCTTTGATCATAAATCTTTTGTTATATAGGAGCGTGGTTTGGGGAGACAAATTGGAGAAGGATATGAAGCTAGCGGATTATACCATTTTGGATCTCGTCCAAGGGTGTCCTGTGTTGCTGCTCCTAATCTTAAAGTGCTACATGATCGACTTGGCCATCCTCATTTGTCCAAATTAAAAAAGATATGTCCCGAACTAGTGCTCTCCAAACCTTAGAATGTGAGTCATGTCAATTAGGATCTTACAGGAAATGATGCTGTTGGAATATCTCAACTAAGAGTACTTTTGTAGACATTTTCAAACCAAGGATCTTGGAAGCATTCAGGGCTCTGGGTATTGTGATGCAAATTGGGCAGTTTCACCTATTGATAGACGGTCTACTACATGATATTGTGTTTTTCTAGGAGGAAACATTATTTCATGAAAAAGTAAGAAACAAAATATAGTAGCTTGATCAACCGCTGAAGCCGAGTATAGGGCAATGGCATCTCTAACATGTGAACTTATATGGGTGAAACAATTCCTTCAAGAGGTTAAATTCTGTGACATCCATACTATGAAGATGGATTGCGACAATCAAGCTGCTCTCCACATTGCATCAAATCCAGTGTTTCATGAGAGGACTAAACATATAGAAATTGATTGTCATTTTGTTCGTGAAAAGTTGTTGACTAAAGAAATATGCACTGAGTTTATTGGGTCAAACAATCAACTCGCAGATGTATTGACCAAGTCATTAAGGGGCCCTCGGATTGAGTTTATTTGTTCCAAGCTTGGTACATACAATTTATATGCTGCAGCTTGAGGGGCAGTGGTAGGATATTTATCCTATTTTATCATGATTATATTGTGTCAAGGGTTACCTTATTTATCATGATTATATTGTGTGTAAGATTACCTTATTTATCATGATTATATTGTATGTATGGTTATCCTATTTATCATGTACTTTTGTATCAATTTAGTCTTATAAATAGAAGATCGTGATTATATTGTGTCAAGGGTTACCTTATTTATCATGATTATATTGTATGTATGGTTATCCTATTTATCATGTACTTTTGTATCAATTTAGTCTTATAAATAGAAGATCATTAGAGGGATCAATTAAACCCTTTAGAATTATTTTACAGTTTAATTCTCAAGTGCATAAGCAAAATTGATGTTTTAATTCTGTCATAACTTTGATCATATTTTGTGAATTGTCAATGTCCAGAGGCATTATTCATTTGCCATTCACCATAGGTATTGCTTCTGGTTTTGCAGTGGGACTTTGAGTTACATATTTAATAACTTCAAGGATGGCCGAGCTTTTAGTGAGGTAGTTGCTGAAGCAAAGGAAGCTGGTTATACTGAGCCAGATCCAAGGGATGATATGTCTGGAACAGATGTTGCTCGAAAGGTACAGTGTGGTATATGTTTACCAAATTTTGTTGTCATGTTAATTAACTCTTTTATGCTGTGTATAAAGCACCCATCCTGTAATTTTTTTCACGAGACATGTTGTTAGGTTACTTTGTGCAAATAACCTAATCTATACTCTCTTCTCACTTCAACATGGTGTATGGTGACCTACTTTTATTGAAGTCCCAAGAATTTTCAAGCTGATTTGTTTTGGGTGGCGCAAGGCCAACAAGAAAACGAACTTGTTAGTTTCTTGATTGAAAGAAACCTTGAACACTATTCTGGCTTGTGAGAAATAGAGAAGATTGGGAGAAATATCCCTTGTGTCTTTTGCATACACATAGGGTAGTTTATTTATAATGTTAGATATGGGCCAAGGCCCTTAATACAAAATGGGTTGAGCCCAATTAACATAAACACACATCTTAACATCTAACACTCCCCCTCAAGCTGGAGCATATAAATCATATGTTCAAAGCTTGTTACAAAGATAGTCAATTCTAGGTCCTCGTAAGGACTTAGTGAATATGTCAGCCAACTGGTTACTTGAGTTAACGAACTCAGTCTTGATATCTCCAGATATAATTTTTTCTCGAATAAAATGACAATCAACTTCAATGTGCTTGGTTCTCTCATGGAAGACAGGGTTAGAGCTAATATGGAGAGTAGCTTGATTATCACATATAAGTGTCATGTGAGTGACATCTCCAAATTTCAATTCACTAAGTAATTGTTTAAGCCACACAAGCTCGCAAGTAGCTGATGCCATAGCTCTATATTATGCTTCTACGCTGGACCTTGCCACAACACTTTGTTTCTTACTTTTCCGAGATATCAGGTTGCCATCAATAGAGACACAATATCCAGAAGTAGACCTCCTATCAGAAGGGAAACCAGCCCAATCAGTATCTGAATAGCAAACGATTTTTGTATCGTTGTTAGGACCATATAGAAACATTTTCCAGGTGATCCTTTAATATACTTTAGTATGCGAACAACTGCATCCCAATGGTCTTCACATGGGGAGTTTAGGAATTGACTCACCATGCTAACTGCGAAGGAAATGTCAGGACGTGTAATAGTAAGATAGTTTAATTTAGAGTTCATTAAACCTCTTTCCTCCAAGATGTCTAACGCATACTTTCTCTGAGCGTATACCTTCTTCATGCTCAGTTAGGTCATCCTAGTCTTGCCAAACTGCAACAACTTGTCTTGAGGTTGTCAAAATTATCAAGTTTGTTGTGTGAGTCTTGTCAGTTAGGAAAGCATACTCATAGTTCCTTTCCTTGTAGTGTCTCACAACGTGCGTCGTCCCCCTTTTCATTGGTTCATTCTGATATTTGGGGACCTAGTCGTGTTAAGTCCACTTTAGGTTTTCAGTATTTTGTTACCTTTATTGATGACTATTCCAGATATACTTGGTTGTTTTTAATGAAAAATCGTTCTAAGTTGTTTCCCATTTTCCAAACATTTTTCAATGAAATAAAATCACAGTTTGGAGTTTCTATTTGAACTTTACGCTGTGATAATGACCGTGAATACCTTTCTCAACCATTTAAACATTTTATGGCTTCTCATGGCATTCTTCACCAAACCTCATGTGCTTATACCCCTCAACAAAATGGGGGTGGCTGAGCGCAAGAATAAACACCTTATTGAAACAACTCGTACACTTTTAATTCATGGTCAAGTACCCTCACGTTTTTGGGGTGATGCAGTTCTCACTGCATGTTATCTTATTAACCGCATGTCATCTTCTGTCCTAGATAACAAAATCCCTCATTCTATCTTATTTCCTCAAGACCCTCTACATGCATTACCTCTTAGAGTTTTTGGGTCTACATGTTTTGTTTATAGGAAACAACTCAGAACGATTCTTCATTAAAAACGAACCAAGTACATCTGGAATAGTCATCAATAAAGGTAACAAAATACTGAAAATCTAAAATGGACTTATTACGACTAGGTCCCCAAATATTCTGCCATGGAACCACGACTACACGGACCAATAACAGTTAATAGGTCCTGACAAACACCATAAAGACATTGAGTGTCATTTGTGTATAACAACTTCGCTTGTGCCCATACTTCTGAACATGTTTCATATGATCGAAACATTTGTTCCAGTGAGGAGTGAATGGTGGACTTTATAACAATGCATCAACTTATAACAATACATCTGGAATAGGCATCAATTTTCATCTAACAGGAAGTGTCATCTGTGGTAGCAGTAGTCACATTTTGAGTAAGGTGATATAAGTACCCCTGACTCTTCAACCAAAGTTTGATGTCGGACGCCCATGTTGCAAAATTTCTGCCATCTAACTTGTCAATGGACAAGTGTACATTCACATAATTGGTGTATATTGAGGGATCAGAAGATGAGCCACCAACAAAGGTGTTTGTAGATGAGGAAGACGCCATGGAGAGGGAGAAACCCTAAAAATCCAAAGTGGTCTGATTGACGCAATGACCACAGATCCAGAAAGAGGGCGAGGAGGCGATCACGACGGTTTTGATCGGCAGCAGAACTCTCCGGCGATGCGTCGGCACACGTGACGGCGTTGGCGAATGCTGCGGCGGTGCGTGGCGGCTCGTGGGTGGTCCGTTCGCCGCGATCTTTGTACCACGGTGGTCGCTCGGCTGAGACGATTCCGATGGTGTGGTCGTCAGTCGATTCTGGAACTTTGGCGACGGCGGCAGCGGCGACAACGGCGGTGATGTGTGCCGAGGACCGTGGAGTTGGCTGGAACTAATCCTATGCTCTAGATACCATGTTAGAAATAGAGAAGATTGGGAGAAATATCCCTTGTGTCTTTTGCATACACATAGGGTAGTTTATTAATAATGTAAGATATGGGCCAAGGCCCTTAATACAGAATGGGCTGAGCCCAATTAACATAAACACACATCTTAACATCTAACATGGTTTAACTCTAGAAAATGAAACTCAACAAAGAACACTTTCTTTATTTAAGAAAAACACAACAATTTACAACACTATCAAGGAAACCTGTCTCAACTACAAATAGTACAAAACGTGTCTCATGACAGACACTTATTCCCCCTTAAATAACTAACTCCTAAAACAACCTCCTACGTAACTACCTAACCAACTTCCCCCCTTCATTCTATTTTATTTTCTGTTTTTCCCCCTTTTTTCCTGATATCAACCCTTAAGACCCTATCATTACTCGTCGGCCTCTTAACAAACTTGTTCTCAAGGTGAAAATCTAGGAATTGGTCTTTCATGGTCGCCACATCTTCCGAGGTGGCAACTTCTAGTCCTCCATCCAGCCACTCAATGAGTACTTGGGCCACTAGTTCATCTTGTAGCTCTATTGTCCTTCTCTCCAACACTTTGTGTGGCCCACATCTTGTCCCTCTTTCCTGAAAGTCCTTTGGTAACTCCTTTTTGATCGGTTGGATTCCCACTGCCAAATTGAGTTGGGAAAAATGAAAACCCGAGTGGATACGGGCAGTTTCTGGCAATTGTAGCCTGAACGCCACTGACAGCTTAGGATGTAGTCATGTAGGCATGGATGCTTGCCTATGCGGTCTAATTCAGGGTCCTATTCAACACTTTTTTCTGGCCATCTGTCTCTAGGTGATAGGTTGTGCTCATCAGCGATTTTGTCCCCTGAAGTCTGAACAATTCTTTCTAAAACAGGCTCAGAAATGTGGGGTCTCTGCCGTGCAATTTAACCGCATCTCTTACAAACACTTCTACTATAGTTTTTCCCGAATACGGGTGCTTTATGGGTATGAAGTGGCCATAGTTACTCAGCCTATCAACCACGACGAATATTACATCGTACTGATGCGATTTAGGTAGACTTACAATGAAATCCATGCTTATTTCTTCCCATATCGCTTGTGGTATAGGTAGGGGTTGTAGTAACCCTTGAGGTGAGGTAGCCAAATACTTGTGCTGCTGGCAGACCAAGCAAGCAGCCACAAAATCTGTTATGGACTTCATCATCCCTACCTAATATAGCGATTGGGTGTCATGTGGAATTCTGTTATTAGTTTCAGAATCCATTCTAACTGAGCAAACAAAACCAGTCTCCCTTTGTAACGGAGACGGTCATGCTCCAATGTGTAGGCTGGGTGTGATTCAAGGTCTGCTTCCAGGTCTTTCTTGATCTTTTGCATGCTTGGGTCTCCCTTGATTTCTTCTATAATTGACTGGAACTCTTGCCAAAAGGATCTAGCAATCACCCTAAGTTCCTTCCCTTCCTCCTCCTTTTCCTCCTCTCTTCTGGATAAGGCATTAGCCACACTCCTCGATCTATATACGATTTCAAACTCATAACCCAATAGTTTGGCCAACTAGTTTTGCTGGTTTTGAGTAGTAATCCTTTGTTCCAGGAGATACCTCAAACACCTTTGGTCAGTATGCACTAGAAATTTCTGGCCTAATAAGTAGGGCCTCCAGTGTTGGATGGCTAGCACCAAGGGCATCAATTCTTTTTCATATATGGACTTTGAAAGGGATGCTTAAGCCTTATTGAAATATGCAATGGGTCTCTTAATTTGAGATTGTTAGATATATTATATCTTTTAGTTAGTTAGTTATTATTTTCTCATTTGTATTTTGGGCTTAGCCCATATTTCTTTTATTATAAATAGATAACCCTATGTGTGTATTTAACACAAGGGGATATTCTCTCCCAATCTTCTCTATTTCTAATATGGTATCTAGAGCACAGGAATAGTTCCAGTCAACTCCACGGTCTCCGGCACCCATCACTGCCGCTGTCGCTGCCA